CCCTCCCCCTCCCCTTCCCCCGCCGTTGGTGGAGGCCCCCGCGCAAAGCCCCGAGGAGGGGGCCACGGGGCTCTCCCCGGCCAACCCCGTCGTGGTCCTCCTCTACGGCTGCCGCGGGGTCGGCAAGAGCACCCAGTCCCAGGTCCTCGCCGAGCGCTACCACCTCCTCTGGCTCTCCTCGGGCAACCTCTTCCGTGAGGGGAAGAACCCTTTCGAGGAGCTCCAGCGAATCGCGCGCGAGCAGTTCGGGCCAAACGGGGAACGCGCCTACAACGGCCTGGTGCTCGATCGCTTCATCGTGAAGAGTGAGATCGACGCGTACTACATTAACGACATTCTGGGTGAGGTCGGCCTGCCCACGCCGCTGGTGTTCTGGCTCCAGGTGGAGCCCTCCGTAGGGATGGAGCGCGCGAAGTCGCGCGACGACGTCAAACCCGCCTTGGATCACTGGCGCCACGTCGAGAAGATAGCCCAGATGTCCGCCACGGATAAGGTTTACCGGCCATGTGGTCGGCTTGTGGAGGTAGACTGCAATAAGTTGGACAAGGATGCCGCGAGTGAAGCGATCATCTCGGCCTTAGAGAACTTTATTAGAGATCCAAATCGAAACAAGGTGCAGTTGCCTCCGTTTTCACTGCCAAACGTGACTGTGCCTCTCCCCTTGATTCCCAAGCACAACGTTTTTGAGCAACTCAAGAAGGATATTCACATGATTATTGAGAATCCGACAAACCGAACGGACACCCCACCGCTTTCCACGATAGGTGGCTATGTAGACCTCAACTTATTCCAAAACTGCCGTAAAAATAATCGGTCCGTCGCGCGCTTTATGAATGTGACTCTGAAAGTAGATGGACAGCGCTTTTTGGTGGTCAGGCATCGGGAGTACGGGTTTCTGGGCTTTCCTTTTATTTTTAATTTCTGTCTTGATTTTAATAGCCTCTTCGCTAAAGCTGACCTTTTGTCTGACACGAAACTAGATAAACCTTTAGATGTTATCCTCGACACTGAGCTGCAAACAGATTGCATGGGTAAGACGATGCTTCACATTATAGACTTTGTATATTTCCACGGATACCAAGCAAAATTGCTTTCCTTCTTGGAGCGATACAGAATGCTCAGAGAATGGATTCCAACGTCCTACCACTATCCCGAGTGCTTGAGCAATCCACAAAACTTTTGCCTTAAGCTGTATGTGCCCATTAACAAATTGTATACTATTCTGAATCGACTTGAGGATGCGCCCTTTGCTGTGGACGGCATCGTTTTTCAACATAATGAAATTTATCGATTGGGGATGGATCGATACATGCTAAAGTGGAAACCCCAAGAACTGTGTACGGCGGATTTTCGTCTTGATAAGGGGGAAAGGTCTGTGGACGAAAAGACCTGGACATTCAAGCTCTACGTGATTGATTACAGTTCAAATAACCGTAGCGCTTGGCAGGAAGTGCCTTTTCCAGGCGCTATAGGTGTTTTCACGGTAGAGGAAGTGTTGGAAAAGGGGTTGAGTGAAGGTAAAATTGTCGAACTTTTTCTGCATAAAATTGAAACTGATAAATTTGTAACTTATGACTCGAAATCTATGCACTGTACAGTGTGGAGTTTCCATCGCGTTCGAGAAGATAAACCAGGTCCCAACAAACTTACAACGGTGAAGCAGATTGTTGAGCTTTCGCATCTTACGTATGCGGATCTTCTCCGCGAAACTCGTTCAGTGCGTTACGTGGAACCGTTGAAAATTATTCATACCAAGAAGGATTAAAATTCTGACGCATGCAAAACAAGGAATAGGACTTCGAATTAGCCGTTACTGCAAGGTAAAATTCAAACGGCATATCACAATCATTCCTTTTCCCTCCCCACACCCTTTACTTACACAAAGTCATAAAAAAACTCAAATGTTTTTTTCCTTTTTTTGCAATTTGATGAAGGTTAACGCTGAGTTAGCCTCAAAATCATAAAAAGTTGGCGATTTTTTTTTCGAAAACGCATCGCGATCGATGAGGAAAATACGTAAAGATTCTTTCTACCTTTCAATTGTGTTAAGATCATATATTATCATTGCTATTTGAAGAATGAATGTGCAAACTCGCGTCAAATGAACAATGAAATCTACTAATCGTTCGATTTGCGCATAATCTCAAACAACAAATTGATGTGTTAATTCCTTGCTTTTTTCAGATAATATCTTGCACCCCCATGCTCTTCTTATCTGTTCTATTTCCAATACAGAATGGAATCCTTAACTTAAAATAAACACTAACCACAGCCTCCCGAAAAAAAAATTGGGTTTTTAACCCCAGCTCCTTCTTTTGCCTTGATCGCAGGCAACATTTTCTTTACAAATGATTCGCGTACTTATCTATTATATGATCATGTTTAGATTTTATTCCCATTTCTTTTTTTTCAGTCTTGCTTATTTAGTTTTCTAATTATAATTAATTTTCTGCAACTCCGGTAGGATAAAAAAAAAAAGTTGTCAAAGTGATTGTGAGTCACTCTTATTGCTGTTGTTACATATTCGTTTTGCTGACTGAGCATCGATCATTTTAATAGTATATAATAAAGTATTATAACCGTGAGGGCTATTATTTTCTGCACAAGAAGCTTTCGTGGAAAAAAAAATTGAATCAAAAATAGGCACAACTATCTTAACTAAAACTTCCATTATAATAACCTCAGGAGAGATGTCTGGAAAGAATCACAGGGTCACGGCCGGTCTCAACCCCGATGCCGATCCATTCCCCGTTGAGATGTCGATCGCGAGCGGTGCGGTATCGAGCACGAGCTACCTGGACGCAAACAACCCGGATAACTTCCACATGATGAACCCGATGGAAGTAAGCCCCGTGTATGGGATTGGGCCGCAGTACGACAGCGGGGGCTACCCCCGCGGCGGCCGCTTCAACCCGAACTACGCCATGAACCCCCCGATCCAGGGAGGGGGAGGGGGGGCCTACCACGGCTCCTACGGCCAGCCCCACCGCCATGGGGGCCTGGGGATGAACATGGAGATGGGCAACAACAACTACGGCCCCGGCGGCGGCGGGAACCTCGGCATGGGCGGCATGATGGACCGCCCGGGGCCGCCCCACCTGATGTCGGGCGGAGGGGGGAATTACGGGAATATGGGGCCCCCGCAGACGCGGATCTACGGAGGCTACCGCGGGAACGTCACGCTCCCCCCGCAGGCCGCGGGCTACGCGCCGGAGATGATGCGCAACTCCACCCCCTCCCCCCGTCACCTCCGCGCTCCCCCACCATCGCCAGCCGCAGCCCCCCACCCCCCGCCCGCGAACGCCGCGCCGCGGGTGAAGGAGACCCCGAAGGTGATCCTCGTCGCGGGCTTCCGCAAGACCGGAAAGACCACCATCGCGAAGGAGCTCGCGAAGGGGCGGCTCTTCGAGTACGTCTCCCTCCGCGGCGAGGACGTCGAGGACTGCGACGTCGCGAACTGGGTCAACTCCTCCCGCTTCGCCCCACTGAACCGGGTGCTCGAGCGCAAGAAATCCATCAAGGGCATCGTCATCGATGACGCCCTGATGCGGAACAAATACGAGCCCTACCACGTGAACTACCTTCTCGAGAAGGCCGGCCTCCACATTGATATCCTCGTCATCATCACGAACGAATTGAGCGACCTCCTGAAGCGCGGCGTCGCCTTTAAGAGTGCGGCTCAAAAGCAGGCCCACCCAGAGAGCTTCGAGTTCGGCGAGAAGGTGGAGGAGGCCAACACGAATGAAAAGGGCGCGCCAATCGTCGTCGTCGATGGGACGGAGTCACTTGAGGTATTGACGACTGAGGTACTCAAGCAGGTGGCGGAGATGGAGGCGCGCGGCCTTCCGCCATTGCGTCTACCGAAGGTCGAGTTCATTCCGAAATCGACACTTGTGATGAATCCTAGCCTAGTCGAGTCCGTGCTCGAGGCCGAAATCAACGCCCTCGACTTGAAGACGCTAATGTATGGGTTTCCCTATTCTGAGCCAAACTATTTGATGGGGTACCTTGAGTTTGTTCGCAATGTGTTGCTCTTTAAAAGCTACTTGGTGGTGCCGTGGATATGGGGCAATAAAATATCACTCATTGGCTACGAAGACGAGGTGTATATCAACCTTCCTTCCTATAAAATAATCTTCTTGATGCAAAATGTACCAACGGTCCTGAAGGATTTGATGACCCACATAAAGGAAGAACTGTCTCAGGAGGAGGATAAGTCGTCCACCGCGAAGGTTTGCCTATTTAGCCTGGAGGCGACCATGCTGGACGATATCATTTATATATCCGATATAATGATGATGGGTAAACACAAGGGAAATAAAATGCTCCTGCCCGATCGAGTCGCACTGCTGAAAGAATCTCTCGGTGAGCTCCCTGAGGACGGTGCTGTGAGACTTCTGGAGTACTTCCCGGTGAATGAGATAACTAAGTGCATGGAAAAGTATGCCGACGTCGCGCGGGGCATTCTTTTCGTTAACCCAGACGGTATGGCAACTGGGTGCTACGAGAGCCGGAACTTCATCTACCCGTGTGGGAGCAAAAAGACCGTCAAAATTCGTATCTGGGGCGGGCACTTAGAGGAAAATGGCATGTGGTGTTTTGATGCCTACGCCCGCGAAAACGAGCGCGAGGTTCGTGTGACCAATTCCGATAATGTCCCGATCCCCGTTTACATCTCGGACGCGCAGGTGGGGGAGTTCACCATTAACGATGGTAATATCATCGAGTGCGTGCTGGAGCTCAAACCCCCCTCCCCGCCCCCGAAGGGCGGGAAGAAGGGCAATAAAGCACACTCGACATCGTACTTTGTCTTTCAAAGGCGCTGTAATTGGCAGGTCGAACCAACGACCTTGTACTACCAGTCCGCCTTTGTGGGAAAATCAACATGGGCGACCAGCTCGTTTTTGGAGACGTGCTCGTCGATCCCGTATAAACCAGCTTGTCTGACAGCGCAGGGGTAACCTTTTAAAGGATCAGATGTTGAGTATGCAGGTTAATCATGGAAGTTCTTGAACACTGTTTTTAGTATGATAACTCCCGTTTTCTTTTTTTGCATCTTCGTGGTGATGCCTAACAAAAAGAGGCGGACTAGTGATATATAAAAGACAACTAATTGGTTTTAAAGGAATTAAGTGGCCTTGGGTGGAAAGTTGCGGTGTATTCGGGTACAGGAATGTGTGGAGCCGAGGACGAGCTGGTGTGCCTCCTTCCTAAATCTTTGCCTGCACACACTCAACCTTAACGACCAGGGCAGAATGACAATAGATATGCAATTTTTCGGAACTATCGTAATTTGACAGAATTATCTTTTTGGACGTCGTTTTGCACGGATATGCAAAAAATCAAACTGCAAAGTAATATTTCGCCTGACACGTCAAAGTAGCTATATGAATGGATAATAATTCGAAGCCGCTATGGGTCTTCCGATGCCATCTTTTTTTACCCATTTTTCATACACACACACACAATAATTTCTTCCCTTCCTCAAGAATAGCTATACATATATATATATATAATTTATAGCAAAAAGCAGATTCATACCCAGGATGTCTTTCAGGGGTATAGGCGTGTGCTTCTTTCCCACTTATGCCCGCTCTGGTGCTACCGTTTCAGCTGTCCCCTAATCCAAGCATTGGAGAAGAACTGTGAGAACCCACGCAGGGCCAGTAGCCCACCCAGGCGAAACGGCAGATCTATGATCACACACTCTATTTATTTCCAAATCTCTCTCTTTACTAATTAATAAATTTTAGGACGTGCTCTTTTTTTCCTTCTTACAAACCAATTACTACAATCGAGTTACGTTTCTTCCTTATTGAACGTATTTTTATAGATTGTTATTTGCTTAATCACTTTTAACAAACTACGTTATGAGTTCTTGGTATTGCAATTGTTGTTGTTGTTGTTTTGCTAAAGTGGAGATTGGGTTGTTATTTTTTTTTTTTAATAACTAAAGTAAGCGTCCTGTTAACCATTCCTGGCATCCCTATGAACTGATGACGCTTAATCGCACATTATCGGGTCTAATTGTGTGCAACCCACGGTAGTTCTGAAAAATTCGGACTATAGGATGGGCTAAGTTGAAGAGTTCAACACTTAAAACGTACACCATCTTCGTCAATGCGCCACTAACAAATCTACATGATGCTGCAGACTATTCGCTCGACCACTTTTGTTCATCCCTCTGCCCAAAGAACGCATGCACTTTTTTGGTCCACACACTACTACTGTCTTTTTAATCCCAGGAAGACAAGAAGTGGGTGCACTTCAGTATGTAAATAAGTAAAGAAATAACTTTTAGGATATCGTTTCCATGTACGCGTAGAATCAGCTAAAATAGTGTCGAGAAAAGGGACGTCGGAATAAAGAGTTTTGTAAGAAAAAAATAAAGTCAATTCTGTAGATGACTCCTTCAAACGTGATCATCGTGTTATTGTAGTACACCGCCTATGTTTATTTCCAAAGCCGAAAACAAGCAGTCAGGCCCCTATGGTTTGTGAAAGCAGAAAATCAAAATCCAGTAATCAAAAGAAAGCAGAAAAAAAAAAAAGACGAGTTATACCGTTAGACGTCTTCCAAGTTGAGAACTCAATGCCACCGTTAATTTCCCCCCAAAACGTCCCTTGCTTTCTCACCACCAGCTCTGG